TTTAAATAATTTCTCCTGGCACTTTTCCATATCTCTCGAACACTTGTTGCCACGTTTCAAAAACTTTCTAATCTCTGTTCGTATCTTGAAAACAAGAAAAAATGATTTAGATTAATTTTGTAAGATTATTAGAGTGCTATCTGGGAAAAATAAAAGGAAAAACACGCGAGTAAAAAATTGTTAATAATTTATCGAGGTTTCATACTCAGAAAGATTCGTGCTAGTTCCGATTGAATCAAGATCGGTGGTAATTTGATCGTAATCCTGGTAATAATAATCTTTCCCATTCGTATTGGTTTTACGATCTTTTCATCGGGAATTGAAACGATACAAAATTTCGCAATTCGTCGAATTTAAAACGCGACAACTACTGTTTCCGTACGTTAGTATTTGCTAGCACCGTTCATTCCTCCGTTCAGCCATTTATATCGCACGAGGCGATGAAAATTTTTACAACGTTGGCTCGTTCCAACCTTATCGTTCAAAACGAAGAAAGAAAGAGAAAAAGAGGGGCCTGAAATTATCGTTACAGTTATCGTTACCAGGCGTACGAGTATGCTAGGATATTTTTACGATCGACCTAAAGAAACTTTGACACCTGTACCTTTTCGTGAATCAAACAAAAAAGACAAAAATTGAAAAATCCTTGGAATTTCAAACATTCGCCTCTTTAAACAATTTATTTCTGAATTTTGAAATAATTAAAGAATTCGATTAATGGTGACTAGAAAAAAAAGATAAAAGAAATAAAAAATAAAAATTATATTTAAAATATGTACACACATTATTTATTGTGACATGTCACATGCATAAATATCACTCTGTCATTTAAAGTTATTGAATTTTTCGGAAAATTCGTGTAAATTTACAGATCCGTTCATATATCCATATATATATAAAAATATATAAATACATAAATACATTTTTTTTTATCGCAAAAAACATTATTGTTACGTTTATTTCATCCATACATAAGTGGTCAAATGCATATATTGAAAGATACAAGAGTGAGGCAAATAATTGCAACAAATTATTTTCTTTGATGCGAATTATAGGGAATGCAACCAAATTATTATAATCTTTTCTTTATTCTTATAAAAATCATATATTTAGTAGATAATTTTTTTGCGCCTTTCAGCCTTAAATGAAAGGCCTGTGTATTTGCGTATATTTATTATTAATAAAAATCATTTATTATAATATAAAATCTAATGTAAAATATGAATTTATTTACAAATCGGCACGTTTACTTTTTCAAAAAAAACTCAGTCAAATGCGATACATACAAACGTACGGATAATTTTTACAAATCAGTCGGATAAAATACAAACATTATATTATAAAATAATAAAATAAAATTAAAAAAATTAAAAGATCATCTAATCGTAATAACAAATAAATCTTCTTCGATGCGAAAACGAAGAAGAATTTTTCGATGGTTAAGAGTCTAGCGATAGTGTCAAAAACAGTTTTTTTTTAAAAAGAGACGGATAAAGAAGAAAAGAAAGAAATATAACGAAAAAGAGGACAAGAAAGAGAAAGAGAAAGAGAAAGAGAAAGAGAGAGAAAGAAAAAATTGGAAAAAGGGCGGATTCTGCGGCTGGCACTGCGGAATTTTAGGAAATATCTCGAGCCCTCCCTCCTCCCTCTCTACACCCGTTTGCAGTTCTTCGACTTTCCTGCGGAGAGAGAAAATATTCGAGCTGGTGGGTGCCGTTGGTACGAACGCCGACGCGACTCGATCGTAAAAGGGCTGACACGTTGAGTGGGTGGTAGTGAAAGAGACAAAAAGAAAAATAAAAAGAGAGAGGGAGAGAGAGAGAGAGAGAAAGAGAAAGAGAATGAACGAGTGGGGGATAAAAGGCTGGGAGATTAACGCATCGATTAGTTCGAACACGGCGAAACACTCTTCGGCACTTTGGCACCGCGTGTGTGCGATTTCGACGCGTTCTTTTTATTATTCCATCGCTTTCGAAAGCTACGAAAGCTCACCCACCCACCGCCTATACCCTACCTCCATTCCACCCTCTCATCCTGTACACCCCAAACCACCCCAAACCATCCCATCCGATACTCCCGTTTCGCCCCGTCCTCACCTTTCATCTTTTTTACTCTTTTTGTTTCTCTCTTTCTCTCTCTTTCTAAATCGAATAGAAATGGATAAAATATTCGATTTTTCATTGTTTTTTTGCCGTACTAATTATTCTATCGTGCCTGGTACATCTCTTTCTCTTCCTTTCCTCTTATCCAATTTTTTTTTTTTATTAAATATTTTACAATGATTTTGTGTGTGTGTGTGATTGTATCTTTTTTTAAAACTCCGTCGTCTCTCCTCACTCCCTTTAATCCCACTCTCTCTCTTTTCTCTCTCTTTCTCTCTCTCTCTCTCTCTCTCTCTCTCTCTCTTTGTTTGCCTCTCTTTTTTTTGCTTCGATTTTGTTTTATGTTTTTATATTCGTATTTTTATTTTTATCGAGTTATTTATTTCATATTTTTTTTAAATCCCTACACGAATAAATTGTTAATTTTTTATCGATCGCGCGCGGTCTGTTGAAAGATTTCATTTGAGAAAATGAAATGCTTCAATAGAGAATTATGTATGTATATATTATGTATACATATATACATATATATATATCACATTATTTAATATATATCTATATATATAAAATAGGCATACCTGTAAAATTTAATTGCTAAAAACAAATTAATAGATTCGTATAAGCGTCATCGGTAAATTAATTCAAACTCTTGTTTTTATATTATCTTCGATTAGAATGAAATATCGGAACGTTGACAAATGACACGTAATTATTATTATTTGAACGCATCCTCGTGCAGTTCACTCGTTTGTTCTATGTACTTATGAAGATTATATTTCCTTTTTGATTTGTAGATACAATGAGAAGATAAAAAAATGATTTCACTCGATTGTCTAATGGCATTGTAATGACACGATCACGTAGTAACTTTTGACGCACGACTCGTTGGATATAATTCAAATCTAGTAAGTCGTGGTGAACTTGTAAGAGTTCCTGAACTACAATGAGGATTTTGTTTGCCATTTCCAGTGCTTCTGTTACTAAACCCACGACATAACGACGACGACGTTCGTGTTATTTCGATCAAAGTTAACGTGCCATGTTATAAGACAAGAAACATTGAGGGGTGTTATAGGTAAATTCCATCGTGTTTGCATCTTTCTCCATTAACAATTTTAACAAAGCCATTAACTACCACAAGATCTTTGACACTTTCTTGCTGGTCCTTCCAATATTCGGAATTTTGTTCGATGTTGTTATTACTTAATTCCGGATGTTCAAATGGTATATCTAGCAACTTCGTCTGCTGTTTTGTCTGCTGTATCATTGAATCTGATTTGTCCGTTGGATCATCGTTCGTTTTTACCTCCGCGACAGATGTTATCGTAGCTATTGGCACGATCATTTGTTCAGGTATATCGTTGGAGTCAAATTCTTCATAATATTCTTCTACCGAAGTATCTTCTTCGGAGATACTCGTTCTTATAAATTTTATTCTTTTGTTTGATATTGGATAGTGCAAATTTTCCTCGGAGAAAAGTTTCTTAGACATTCGGGAACCGTATAAATCTTCTGACAAATCATTTATAAAACTTTCCCGTTCAGATGATTTGATTATTTTAATGGTTAATTCGGGAGGAACGTTGGAAATATTTATGGAAGATAATCTCAAATGTGAAACGATTTTAGGTATATTCGAAAGCGATTTATTCATAGCATTGTTAATACTTTCCAATAGGCCTTTAATTTGTAATGACTCGGCAGCATTAACGAATACCGTTAGTTGGTTTTTGGGAATATTAACTTTTCCCCTGTACATATATAATCCATAGTAGCCTTCAATTCTTTAAATTTGATATCTTTTAGTATGAATATTGGATGCTTATCGTAATGTACGTTGAGAAGTGCCCTAAAATATGGACTGCACGCGGAGAGAACTACCCTGTGGGCCTTTATGCATTTCCCCTCTGCTGCTGACAACGTGCAATCGACCAGCATGTCGCCCCCATTACGTATTTCGAAATTTTGTATTAGTGTGATTTGATGATCCGTCCAATAAACGCAGAACAGCTGATCATCGTCCATCATCTCTGGTATCAAGGACATTTCTATATTACATATATACAGGATATGCATATATAGATATACATGTATATAATAAATACAAATATACATTATATATGTATATAATATATAGGGATACATTATATAAAAAAAAAAAAGAAGAAAAACTAATTAATGACATCGAATATAACGATTTTCTCGTCATTTTCATCTGCCCATCGTTTCAAAGAAATATCCGAAGGACTGACATAGGACATAGAAATTTGATTAAATAAATGATTAAATTTTTCATGTTCAGTATTTAATTTATAATTGAAGTCTTTCTCTTTTTAATTTCTTCTTTTCTTTTTTTAACTATCCAGTATTTAATTAAAAATATAAAATAAAATTTTTACCGTTTGTATTTAACTACAATTATTTTCCATATGAACATTTTCAAAGAGAAAATTCTGTTTAATCGTTTTAATTTTTCAAGAGAAAAAAAGAGAGAGAGAGAGAGAGAGAATGAGATAGAGAAAGAGAGAATACAATAACCTCTTTTTAGAAACAACTATTGTACATACCAAGTCTTATAATTTACAATGATTTTTTTACTAAATAAACAAGATAAAAAGTAAAAATTGTAACAAAAACCCAATCAGGGAGACGATCGTAAAATTGTGCCCCGTAAAGTATAAGATCCTTCATATCCTCATAGTAAAATATAAAGGGATAGGTGAAGTAAATAATGGTAAATAACAATAAATTATTCATTGTTTAATCGAAAGGAATTTGTCTTCAAAGTCTTACTTCAGTCGAACGACGAATTATATTACTGTCGAAAGTTCAAAATGAACGAATAATGGTATTCCTAATATCTCACCCTTTCGTATTTCTTCTTTTTTTTTTTTGTATTTTTCTTTTATCCTATTTTTTATATCCTTCGAATCACCTTCGAGAGTGTAGCTCGTTATTTCTTAGATCATACAAATTTTTTCAAAATAAATTGAAGAACTCATACACGTTTCATTGACGTAGATTTGAGAAAACTAAAAAAAATAAAGGAAAAAATTATCTTATTTATAAATTGAAAAAAATGGTAGAACACGATCTATTATTTTATTATTTTTAATATTACATGCATTCAGGATTTATATAATTATATTTTTGATATTTTTCATAAAGGAACTGAAAAATAATTTGAAATGTAAATATATTTTCAATGTTTCTTAAATAATGACTACATTCGATTAATTGATATTCATATAACAAATGCGTCTGTTAATTGTCCCAACAATAGTAATATTTAAATAATAATACATTTGTTTAAACAACAGATAACGATTGAAACGAATCGTAATTAACAATATAATCATTTAACGCCAGTTATCATTAAATTCGAAATGGAGGAAAATAAATGTTCCTCATAACACGACTTGCCAATTAAGAACGAATAATTTTGATTCTAAACATATATTCCTATTTCTCTAAAATTGTAAAGATTATTTAGATGACCGGTCTTAGCAGTCTCATACTGTATATACAAATATCTGTGAAATACACAAACGATCATACACATGCATGACGCGTTTCCTTTCGCGTTTCTGGTACCTTCATCGAAACTGCATAAGCTCTACTTACCCAGACGCATCCATAGTGTTAGCTCTGGTTTGGGGTTTGGCCGCGCCAAGCCGCGTGTTTGCGGTTTTGCTGTCGGTGCCCCGAAGTAGACTCAGTACACTGTGTGTTTCTCTAGTATACATGTATGTAGGTGTTTTCGCGTGTATTAGCAAGTATGTGGTATCTATGTATGTATCTATCTATCTATGTAGGTATCTATGTATGTATCTATCTATCTATAGGTATCTATGTATGTGTATATATATATGTACACGTGTGTACGTGTGTATATATATAACTTACTCTAACATTCTCGACTCCTTCTCTCTCTCTGCAAACTCCTATCTGTTTCTCCTTCTATCTCTTGTGTATATTCCCAACGACAGATTCGAGTAGACACAAAGAGAGAGAGAGAGAGAGAGAGAGGAAGTAGAAAGGGTGGGTTGAGGGTGAGAAACGATCGATATAACGATAGATGTCCTACGGGTGGACAGCCAGCTCGAAACCTTCCAGTTTATCGCCGATTCGCGAGCCACCGATGATTCGAGGTGGATGGAATTTCAACAGAGAAATGGAGAGAGAGAGAGAGAGAGAGAGAATAGTAGAGTGAACGAGAGATTAGGTGAGAAGAGGTAATTATATAAAGTAGAGGAAAGTATGAAAAACGTTTGGATTAAACGTCGATAAATTTTCGGCTATTGAAAATGAAACTTTATGTGTGCGAACTTTCGATAATTATTTTCCCAGAAACAATCAAGAAAAAGAGAGAGAAAGAGAGAAGGATTGATATTCCAATGATCTTAATTTTTATCGTTTTTCGATTAAATAAAAGATTTGTTTTTTTCTTCCTTTTGTGGAAATGATACAATTTAAGGAATGAATTTTTCTATTGGGTTTTGAAATAACGTGCCATTTGTTCGGATCAAGAGTTAGTTTAGAGCTATCGCTAGGAAAATTTCCGAAAGCGGGCAAACTCGTTGAGGGAGCTCTTAGGGCGTAACATCTTAATAATACAACCTGCTACAAACTACCCCCCTCAGTTCATTACCCATTCCAGTTCTAAGGGCGAGAACGAATCGAGGATAACGAAGCTCTCAGAAGTCAAGACGAGTCGGCGACCGAAACGGCAATTGAAAAATCGTTCGAGCTAATTAATTGGAGAATAATCCGAGGAGAACTTTAATAGCTTCAGCTTAGCCACGTTGAAACGACAAGGGATACTACTACAAAAAGATAAACTAAAAGATTAAAAGAAATCGAGATCAAAGGTGATCGAAGACAAACAATTCTAAATCGATCAACACCACATTTTCCTTTCGAAATTAAAATAAAAGTTATTCAAGAAATAATAAATCAATAAAATCATTATATTATGATTGTTTTGTAATTAATATGAAAATAATACAATTTATTACTTTAGATTGTAATTACTCGACGAATATACGATCTCTTATTGAATCAAAATAAAAAAAAATTAAATCGTTCTCGCGAAAAAAAAAATATAATAATACTACGAAAAGATAAATTGATGCGAGGAAAAATCCGAGATATTTTTTTTTCTTTAGGTGTGAATTTTCGGGAATAAAAAAAGCGAGAAGGAAGAAAAAGAAAAAAAAGGAGAAAAATAAAAGATCAGGAGGAGCCACTTGGAAATACGTTCTCTTATCGAGTCGCATCTAATCCACGTCCTATTTCCGCAGGCGATCGTTGGATCCTATCTTTCCTATCCTCTCAGTGACCATATTCTAGCAGCAATGATGAAAATAGCAAACGGATTTCGTAGGTACAAAGATCGCACACAAGTTCGCATACTCGAAAATAAAGTCTATGAAAAATCTACGATGGCCCTTTCAATTTGCGTTTTATTTCTTTCCTAGAAATGTACAAGTCGAATCGTTTTAGGTTTACTGGCGTTGACTAGACTATTTAGCAAGAAACAAACAATTCTAATGCGTATGAAATAGAAAACAAAAACATTGATGTTTGAACATTTTTCATATTTTCACTAACACAAATAAAATTATGATAACGAATTTTTGTTCGTTAATTTTTCAAGAAATCCAGAGAATGACTATGCATTTTTAATTTATTCTAATACGTGAGAGTGAAATAAAATAATATTACAAATAAATCATTTATTCGAGAGAAAACATAATAAAAAATATCCCTTGATGAAATGATCAACGATCTCGGGACTGTTATTGTCTATTTTGTCCGAAGGAAATAACGTTCAATGTTTGATCGAACAATCTAAATCTATAATTGTCATCGGATGGGTATTAGGAAGTCGTTAATCGGGTTTGACGTTGATAATTCAAATATTTATCGAGGAAAAGCTTCGATTAAATTTATTTCTAATTTTACTAAATCAAAAGAAAAAACAATAAAATGTTCTGTCGATCACACGACGGAAATATCAGAAAAAACATGTATTATCCATTATAATATAATAATAATTATTATTATTGCGATCGTTATAAGAGTGTTGATAATCTGATATTTGAAATATAAATTTGAATAAAAGAAAATACAATCCAAATAAAACAACAAATGTAATAAATATAACATAATAAAAAAAACTCGTGCCCTCTCTTCCCTCCTAAAAAAAAAAATACATAAATAACGGAAAAAGAAGATAATCGATCGCTGACAACGCCGTGCCGTGAGCGAGGATTAAAGCTTTCGATGGTAAGCTCGAAAATCGCTTTTCACCGAATTACCAAGCCATGTCTATCGACGATCGCTCCAGGCATGACATTTTTTACAACATTTTCACTGGCCGACCATATTTGTTTCATTCTGTTCGGTACGTTGCAGAGAAAAGCGATGTAGAAGCTTTAAAGGGCTACAAAAATGAATTCCTCGCCACGTACCTTTCATATTCACAAAGTTTTTCATATTAACTCAAAATGGATAGTATAAAATTTTAATATATATCTATCTTTCATTCACCCTCAGCTATTAAAATTATTTCTTTCATATGTTCACTATTGTAAACGAAATAATATAATTTTAATCAAACAAACGTCTATTATTTAAATAAAATATAAGTAAAGCGAACAAAATGACAAGTAATTTGTTAACAAATGTCTATCATCAAGAAACATCGTTGAATATAAATGTACAAAAAAATGAATGATGAAATAACGGGGGCAGAAAAAAAAGAAGAAAAGAAAATAAAAATTGGTCAATTTAGGAGGGGAGGGGGAAATGTGAAGTGATTTTATATCGTTGAGGCAAGCAAGGATCGTGTTACAGCTTACCAGGCACAGAATGGTCTCTTTTCACTAGCATGATACTAGCCCTTAGTGGCCCTTAGTGTCCCATGTAAAAGCCAGTGGGGAGTTGGTGACGCTAAACACGCACTTAAACTACCCTTATACCATCTTACCCCGAGATATCGGACCTATTACCCTACGATCAACCGACACGCTACTTCTATTTACGACGGACAACTCTGGACTGAAGGTCTACCGCACTGGGACACCTCGAGTAATGGAATTGTTTACCTTCGTGTTTGTCTCTCTCAAATATCAACCTCTGATATACCTATGTTAGTCCCTTGTTTGTATGTTTGTATGTATAAAATATATATATATATTTGTGTGTGTGTGTGTGTATGTATTTACGATCGAACGATACGTTACATTTGTTTACTTTTTTTTTCTAAGATACTTTAGATCTATATGTGATCTATTTGAATTATACGTAATTTTTTTTATTATTATTGAAATATATGATTTCGAATGATGCTATAATATATTTTCTTTTATATTTTCTTTTAATATAAACACATATCTTACTCTATTTATAAGATCAATTTTTTGTTATACCACTTTCTTATCATTTAAATATTTCATTTGTTTACCGTCCCATTTACATTTTATTTTTATTCAATTATATAGCTGTTACACTTCAGTTCTATTGTTACACTATCGAACGCCCTACATCGTTCTAATCAATTTTAATCCAATAATCATTTCGAATAAAAAATTAAGTGTACTATCTGTCAGATTAAAATTCCATCCTATTAGAAAAAGAAACAAAACCGATTTATTTCTTGCTGTCTCATATAAAATTAAAAAAGAAAAAGGAAAAAAAGATATATATACATAGAGAGAGAGAGAGAGAGAGAGAGAGAGAGAGAGAGAGAGGAAAATAACATAATATAATTGACAATATATGATTATATTTAGCTACGTATTATTTCCGCTCGCTCTTCATGATCTTAATAAAAGTATAGTGAAGCGAGAGAATAGAGAAGATCGAGTGGAGACAAGGTAAAGATATTATCCACTTAACGTACATATGTAGATACATACACATTTATATATATATAGAGACGAAGAGGACACACCAACGTGATACGGACTTCCTCTGGATTACGAAGCCCATATTCAAGACGCTACTTTTGGCTTGACGTGCAAAGTAAGAAGACGAATCGTCTTTCCTGAATAAAGATAAAACGTGCCATGACGCGGAATATAACGTTTTCCGGGAAAGTTTTATCAAGAAAACCGTGGACTCCCTTTTTACTTCCATTTATATCGATATTTCTTAGTTGTTTCGCAAACCTATCTCGCTATTTATGGTGAAATTCTTATGGTTTCTACAAAACATCTACCTACCCACCCCGCACATACACACATATATTAGATATTTAAGACAATACTATGAAAAAGTGGAATATGTGAATTAAATTATTCTACTTTTTCTATCATACATCCCAAACACCGGCACCTTACTCCTCACCCCTTTGATATATTTTCTTCCAACACACGGGATCGATTACGTGCGTCCACGATTTTAACTCGAAAAATACTTTATCCTGTCATAAATTTTACAACGCCAGTTTATTTCTATTCTTCGAATTTTCCTCCAACTGAAACACAAGGAGAGCGTGTTCCAGTTTATCCGTTAGTTCTTCTAGTAAAAGTTCAAGGATCCGAATCATGTTTACCGTATCATGCTGTTTTTCTTTCACTGTGCTTGCTCTATGTTATATTGGTGTTATGTATTGCATATATGTGTATATGTATGTTTGATCGTTTAGTGTATTGAAAGTTTATACGAAACAGGAAAGGATATTTATATTTTTTTTTTGTTTACATCCGAAATTACAACGACGTATGCAACTATTCTTGAATCTTATTAAATAAAATGAAAGATTAAAATAAAAGGAACGATGTATTGCTCGATAATTAAAAAAGTTTACTTTTTTGAATCGAAAATGAAGGAAACACGACGATTGAAAAAAATGAAGAGATCTATTCGAATTTTCGAAGAAGAAAAGTGTAAAAAAGAAAAAATTACGAGGCTACCATTAACGAATATGATTTTTTGTATTAAATAAAAAAATACAGAAGAAAAAACACATGCTTCGTAATTCATTACGGTCGTTATGGGCTTACGCAAAACTCACATAAAAAGATTTTCGTAAAGAAGATACGTAAAGGTTGCTGTTGAGCTGTAAGCTTGCAGTCAACCCACAGGTTATTTAACAAATACACGTAGTCGAGTTCGTCCATTGGTGGTGGTTCTTGTAAACGGGCTCGTGTGATACGCGTTTTTCTAAAGGGTTCTTAAAGTAAAGCCGAAGTGAAAGGCGTGAAGAACATCAGCCCAGTTGAGTACCGTCGATATGCATTTGCATCTTGCAAATAAAATACTATCTGTGTATATGCGTGGATATGTGTAGGTATATGTGAAAGACATTTATGACATCTAAAAGCAAATTTTCTTTGCAGCTTTATTATCATATAAGATATAGCTCTACGACTTCTTGAGAAATATACAATGTTAGACACGTGTAAATAATTAAATGAATCTATTCGATCGAATGAGAATAATTTTGCATTAAAGAAAATCAATGAAAAGATGCATCTTATTTTAGCATTTGTTGCAAATCATTTTGATTTTTTTTTCTTTTAATATTCGATTTAAAATATAAATAGTTCTCGAGTGTACTCTTGAGTTATTATTTACATTTTCCTTTAATTTTAATTTTATTTAAATTAGTTTCTTACATTTTTCTCTAATAATAAATTTACAAAGGTTGTGAGATCCTATTAAATGTCGAATGAATTTTCTTAGCAATTTCATTTTATCAAGTTTAAAAATAAAATCGTAAGATTTGCGAATTATTAACGATCATATTTTAATTATTATAATTTTAAAATTGAAATATATATTCCTCACCTTGAACGGACCCAAATCCTTTACACTACATGCCAGTTTAACGTTTCGTCCTGCAGGTACCGTGACATTTCCTATTTGAGAGATAAACTCAGGATCTCGTGTAGTGGTAACTGAAAGCAGAAAAAAAGGACCAATTGTGACAGTGACGATGTTTCAAAGCTTGCGCTTTCAAAAATTTACAATACGTAAAAAGAGCCAGAGAATAGAGGAATTGAAAAAATAAAAAATAATAAAAAAACAAAACTGTACAAAATACAAGAAAGAAAAGTAGTGACACTCGTTGAAAATGTCCGTTTACGTTAACACTCAACGAATGAATTGTGAACTACGTGATTCTTCTTTTTTTTCCTTTTTAAATACGTTTCCTGGACAATAGTTTTTTTTACGTAAAATATTGTTGACATATTCATTAAGATCTTAAGACAAAATTTTGTCAAAAAGATTAAATGCGTTTGTCTTATCAATGAAATCGAACAGGAATAAAATCAACAGAACAATTTTTTAACTAACGATATCATTGAATTTTTATAAGCAAAGAAAAGAAGGGACGAAATATTCGAAATTAATAACGAAAAAAGATCGTATAAGTATTTAAACGAATTAAAAGAATTTATTTGTGGAAAAATGAATTTGTAATTATGATTAATAAAAAAAAATCTTTTCAATCACGACGTTATTGAGTTTCCAGATAGAAAGAAATAAAGAAAGAAAGAAAGAAATATGCGTATAGAAGTATAGCATGCATTTCCACGAATGGAAAAAGGAAATCTATCGATCTGCACAGACATACGTGCATAGGCGGATGCGCTTTGAGTTATAGGAGCTCACCGCTCGGTGTGACAGCTTAGTTATTGAATACAAAATGCAATTTTTCAAGTCTTCGTTCTGGGATGGTCGCACTCACTCGAGAAAAAAGGACGGAAAGATAAGAAGATAAAAATAGAAAGAAGACGTACTGACGAACAGTGATCGAGTCTTTGAAAGGAAATCTTGACAACCGAACATTCTACTCCAATTTTTATTTGTTTATTTTTTTTCTTCTGCCTACATCTGATCTTGTATATGTATTATATCTACAAATAAATAAATTCATTTTTCATCTTTCTCGGATAAACATTTTTTTTGTATATTACAATTTTTTTATTTATGCTTCAGACAATTGTAATTTTTTAATTTTAATTTTATCTATCCTACTATATTCAAATGTTTATCAAAATCGTCTAACTAATAAAAAAAAATATAGATAATAAGGCTAGAAATTATTTATTATTTAATTTTATATCCTCGAAATTACATTTTATTAAATTTAATTATTTGTAAAGAAAAATATTTCTAGTTATAAAATTGAGTTAATTTTTAATTTTAGGGTTTTTTTTAATAATATAGACGATTTTAAATAAATTAATAATTCACATATATAATAAAAATATTGATGAAGAAAGAGAGTAGCTCTTAAAACTGGTTTTCTCTTTTTATTTCTTTCTCTCTCATCAATGATAAAAATGAAAGAGAGAAAGAGAAAGACGGATACAGAGAGATCGGATCTACAGCAAAGAAAATCCGATATTCGATGCAACTAGTGTACCGTCTTAGCGAGTCACTTTCAATCCCTTTTCTTACTAGAAACCTCGCTTGAGATAGGAAGACCAGAAATGGAACAGGATTGGCCCGTCTCTATGCACTGTTTCTGACTTTTAAAGGTGAATCGAAGTGACTATCGCTTGCTATAGAGAGATAGACACAGTGAAAGAGAGAAAGGGTTAAAAAGAGAAGGGAAGTGGTTACAGAAGGGTGGGTTAAATGAAGGTGAGGTGGAGTAACGGGGGAATGGGAAATGCTTCTTGAAAATTCTCTTTGGGCTGCTGCCATACTCGAAGTCGTCGTACTTTCTCTATCTCTCTCTTTCTCGTTTCTATATTTTGTTAGTTTTCTATTTTTATTTTATTTTTTTTTTCATTTCTTTTTCTAGACTATACTGGACTCGAGAAAAAGATGGCTGATACGAGCATATGCGTGGCCATCTCATCCAAGATTCGTTCTTTCAAATTTCTTTTTCTTTTCCTTCTTTTTTCTTCTTCTTCTTCTTCTTCTTCTTTTTCTACTTTCTAAGCTACTTTTTCTCTTATCGAATGCAGAAAGTCGAACTTGTTACATTTTGCATAAAAGAAATTCTCTGTCAACTCTTTGAGTGAATTTACGAAAATAGTAAGTACCTATATATTTACATACGTCAAACCCCGCAAGGAATATCGATATATGGGAAAGGAATAAGGGTATGGAACTAAATGGGATAAGGGGTAGATTTGAAGTGGTAAGATGGGAAAACCTTTTTTATAAGTCTTGCGATAATTCCCCGAAAAGTCAAGAGACGCATTAGATATAAATTTCCATTTGGACGAATACCAAAGATTAAACGGGTTGGACTAGGATGGAAAAGGGGGAGGAAGATGGGTGAAAGGGTTCTTCTTAAAACAAATCTGTTATCTCTCTCTCTTTCTCTCTAATTTTCACTTTTGGTAGTTTGATCTATTTTTAAAGAAATACTAATCCATTTAGAATCGTCTAATCGAATTACACCCTAAGACACATATTCAAAATAGATATTAAATTTTTCCTCACATCATTCCTAATTACTATCTACCTCTTTAGATTTCTATCTATTTTTAAATAAAATTTCTTCGTACGTAATTGATTCTTTTTATAGACACACAGACAAATACACGTATATCTAAATTTGACATTAATCCTGTTGGAGAAATAAAAACGATTGCTAAACGTGAATCTAAACTAAAAGAATACGCTCGAGTGTAACCACTCGAAATTTATTTAAAAAAAGAGATATATGTATATACATATATACATGCGCACACGCATTCACACAAAAGAAAAAGAGAAAAAGGAAGAAGTAGAAGGAGGTGGAGGAGGAGATAGAAAAGAAGGGAAAAAACATCAGAAAACAAAGAAATATAAATGCAGAGAGACAGAAATATAGCAGAGAAGAATGGGTGAAGAGTGGGATACGAGTCGAGAAGAGATAGAGATCTGAGTTCTCATCGAAAAAGTATTTCAAATTCGTTTGCAAGCCTCGTTTTCCGTGGCACGTGAGTCCTCGAGAAAGAAAAAATGAGAGTTAAAACGAGAGAGAGAAAGAGAGAGAGAGAGAGAGAGAGATAATCCGTCGATCTCAAAGCAAGCTGCAAACGGAAAAGAAAGAAAGAAAGTACAGTGGAGTCCATCAAGGTAGCTCGGTGCGAGCCTTATTAAGCTAACCTTATTAAACATCCGGGAATGTATTAATTACGGTGGAAGATATTTCGCGCTCGAGATGCATTCGACGGACGATAATTAATAAGATACTCGAGCGTAGCTTTCGTACGAGCTTTCTAGAGAAGAAGAATTCGAGATTTCATCACTGTGATAATATGAGGTCTCGAGGAATGATAAAAAAAAAAGATGAAACAACGAGAAAGAACCAGATAAATAGAGAGTACGAGAGAGGGAGAGAGATAGGGAGTAGGGGGTGGGGGTAGATAAGGAACAAAAAATACTAAATGAGGATAGACGTCATTGTACCGATCTCGAAAGAGGAACGAACGACTCTTCGATGATTTCCGATGAAACGGTTGCACACATACACACATGAAAGAGAGAGAAAGAGAGAGAGTTTGAAATTATTTTAATTATTTTCTCTTTTACGAGCTCTTCAATTCTCACCGAGTCAAAAATCTGAAAGAAGGCAAGAAAAGAAAGAAAATCAAGTACGTGGTTCACCCTGATAATAATACAAACGGGGAGAAAAAAAATAAATGATATTTCTAAGAACTTGACTCTTGATTGAAAATCTCTTTTTTCTCTCCATCATTTTCCCCCATTTTTTGTTTCAAGTATCTAAGAAGAAAGAGCGAGAGAGAGAGAGAGAGAGAGAGAGAGAGAGAGAGAGAGAGAGAGAGAGAGTTAGAAAGAAAAAGTAAAATGTTTCAGAAGTGGTTTTTTATTAATGAAGAAATAAAATCTACGCGTATTTTTAATATAAATCGTACAAATGAGATAATCAAAATCAAGATCTGGAATAACACAAGTGTGTCTTCGCTGTGTGTTTGAAGAGAAACAAGTGTTTAAAAAAAAAAAAAATGAAAACGAAAAGGAAAAGAAGAAAAAGGAGATAAAAAATGTATGGGACGATGACGTCACAGTTGTCATCTCGTTGTGTTGTGCAATACTATAATATATAAACTCGCACATAAGCGACCATAGTTACGTGTGGCTCTTCTCGCTCCTGGTGATTAAAGGAGGGAGATCTCTTCATTAGGGCTCGAGTACTCGCACGAATTTTAATTAATATTCGCGACAGTTCGCCGGTCACACTACCGACTATGTGCTCGAATACAAATACCGAGTACGAATAGTAGAGAATACGATAGAGAATGACGACGATTGCGACAACGACAACGACAACGACAACGACGACGACAACGACGACGAGGACGAGGACGAGGACGAGGACGCGTGTTCTCTAACGACCCTCGCAAGAGGAACCAAGGAATTCGATGTAATTATCAAGGTTGTCCTATTAATTTCGTAAACATTCCCTACTACATGCTTCAAGACACGATTTATATTCTCTGACGTCAGGTTCGTTAGTTTTTCTTTCTTTCTCTCTTTCATTCTTTTTCTTGTATTTACGAGAATGAAAGAATTTTAAATTTGCAATTAAAACCAACGAGTTTTTAATCATTTAACAATGAAAAATTAGAATTCACACTTCGTTTGCACATATAAAAAAAGACCAAAAATAAATAATTAATTGATTTTACGATATAGCCAATACAAAATTCAATTGTAATTATGAATAAAAATATTTATTTTTGTAATAAAAAAGAAGAAGATTGGAACGGGAATAATATAAATACCAAATATTTATTCTCTAATGATTGTCAAAAATAATCATCCGATTATGCGAAGAACGATCGTCCCACGGATATTTAAAAATAGTCCAGTCAATAAGAGGCAAAGTGCCGAATTTTTGAGCACCCGGCCAGAAACTTGATATAATGGTAATTCGACGACGCTGAATCGAATGGTGCTAATTTTTTTGCAATTGGATCAGGAG